GTTTCCCTTCGTGGGGAGCAGCGCTGGGCTCTGCACATCACAGACAAACAGTATCCCACATTCTTGATTTTTAGTTCACACACACTTGTTGTAATGACTAACTACTCCTGACATTTTGGAGATGTTAGCTCTTTATACAGTAAAGTTACAGCGGGATACAAATAACATCAGGTCGTTCCTGCCACGATTTGTTCCCTTGGTGCAAATCACGGACAAACAGTATCCCACAGTTGTTTATGTTTTTGAACCCATTTTGCACAGAGAGGCATTTTTTGAAAAATGTATTGATAGCAATGTTGAATATTATTACATAGGAAAAAAACAACTGCACGTAAAATAATTACACCGTGATGCCTCTGCCTTTCTAAATGGAGGGACAGTAACAGAAACAGCTGCGTTTTCAAAAATACCCGTGTAGGTGTGGACGTAGCGTAAAAGAGTTAATAGTTTATTTTATTACTACCTGTAATTTATTGCAGGTTACTTGTATTTGCTTAATTGTTTACTAAATGTTTGAGGGGGGAGGTGAATATTTTTCTTGTAAAACAAAGGGGGACCTCGCAAGTTTATCATCTAATAATTCTTATTGAATAGTTAGTACAGCTGATAACTGATGTGCATTGACAACATCATCCATGGTAGGATCAGTTGCACTCTTAAAAATTTTCCTCAAAAGGGGGAACTCATCAAAGCAATCTTCTAATAAATAAAGTCATACAACCGTAGTTACTACCTTCATACCACATCTGTGAAGCATCTGTTTTTATGTTTATTTTTCAAAATAGAAATGCTGATCTCCAACGTCTTCATTCTGAATTGTGGACTGGGCTGTGCCACTTTTCTTTCTATTATCCTGGTTGTGAATGAAGTAGAACAAACCACTGTATGAAATCTTCAGGTTTTCTTGGGCAATTTCCTTTAGGGAATACCCATTATTTCTTAAAACATGTCTGATTGATTTAAACAAAAAGCTGCTTTTTTAGGAGCATTTTAAGACTGTAATCAGACTCAAATTGTAGTTTTATCATGGAAAAACTTGCATTAAAAAAAAAAAAAGAAGACTTTTCAGACTGATCCCAAACCTTTTTAAGCAATATTTTAACTGCAAGAACTTTGCTGGTAAAGTGGGATCCACGGTGTATTAGAGATAAATGGGAAAGAGTATATTTGAAAAGGGCAGCTGTAGCAAGACAGGAACTAAATGGAGTGTCTTAGAAAGATGCAAGTCATAACATGGGTGCTTTAATACTAGTTGTAGATATTCATCTATACAACTGTCACGCTGGAGGCTGTTTTGGGAAAAGTGAATGTTTGACAATTACAAAATAAACAGATGACATATGGGTAGCGTTAACATTGATAATAGGTTATGAAATACCCAAGAACCCTGCGGTGCTATGTTTGGCTACACACGAGAGCTGAGGAAAGCTACCTTGTCTTAGTTGCAACAGAAGAAGCAAACTTGAGCAAAGTGGGAGTAACTGTCTGGACATTACTGATGAAATAAATGATGTGGAAAGACACACAAAGTGGACTCCCTAGAAAACCCATTGCAGTTGCAATTTAAAAACTATTACATGTGTAATAGTTTTTAATAAAAGTTTCTGTAAAGTGTCCTTCACATATACTTTTTAGTGTTTCTTCTTGAATATTTTGAAAAACTGTGGAATATAGACTTACAGAAGTCTATGAGGTCAGCTGTAGACACACTAAAACATTTGGTTGCATGCCTGGGGTACTGGATCCTCCCAAGTGGTCCCACGATGAGCCTAGAAGGCATAAAATGTGTCTTTTTGTGGTCCATAACAATGTATGTCAGCAACTGCTAGTCACTTTTAGTTTAAACCATCTTGTACTTAATATTTGATTGAGGATTAACTTTTTCATTCTGTTATTTGGCACTATTATTTTTAGTGTGGTTACATTGGCCTCAACTGTAAATGCACTGCTAATTAGCAAATGTTGCTAAGATGCTAAATGTTTATAAATGTAGTCTGAAGCTTGTGGACATAGCTATAACTGTTGGTGCTGTGTCACAAGCACATATTGCTTAATCCAAAGGGCTCTCAAGTCCAAATGAATCAGCTAATTGGAATGTGACCAACTGGTATTTTATTTCACTGGAAACATTATTTCACAATGATAAAACAAGAGCGTATAAGAGGGATTAGGCTGGCTGGCTTCCCCATCCCTAGGACTCAAGTAGATAGCTTTTTTTTGGAAGTTTTGTAGCATGTTATTAGGAAATTTTTTGGGATGCACTGATACATGGGTCAAATAGCAGTAATGGCTGATGTTAGCCTTATTGACCGAAGATGGTATAAGATGGTATTTACCGATAACAAAAGCAGATACATATCTGTTGTGTTCAATTTTCAGACTTCGTTGACTTGATACAAAGGATAAAAAAAATCTTCAAAAATAAAGAAACTGAAAAATAACATCGGTTTCAGCTTTGGCTGTTGTTTTAAGCACCGTTATCAGCCTGGAATTTAACACTCTGCTTATCTGTAGAAATTACGGATCTGTAAAAACTTAAAAAATATCAACAAATATAGAATTTATTGCACTGTATGCTAAGTTCTTACTCATTTGCCTTAATAAGCTACCAGTGACTCACCTTTGTTGTATACACATACATCACTACCAGCAGGAACAAGAAATTGGTTTATGTAATTAGTACATCATGAGATCGTCCTCTCTTCCCCTGGTGCCCTTTAGTCTTGTGGTGCAGCCTCCTGTGCTGCTGTTCCTGTTGGCAGTGACTCACCAGTTTCTTTACACAGACAAAGTCCTCCTGCTGGCCATCCGGGAGGACGGCCTGCAGACTCAGAAAGTGTCAGTTTTTATGAGCCGCCTTGTGGGCAGCGGCAGTCAGATGGGAAAATTTGAGTTGCTGAAGTCAATGAGTAACTCTCTTCCTTCCTGTTAGCAGTGACCTCAAGCAAGCCACTTCACCCCAGCTGCTTATACTTTTCATACTGAGCTGCTCCCAATTTATGCGTGCAGCAGTAAGACTGTGTGTTTGTCACCGAGGTTTTGATTACTGACACGTTTTTCACATGGTTCAAGTATGAGATGCAAGAACTAATCCTAATCCTTGTCCTATTTTAGGATGGGACAAGCACTCATACGGTTACCATGGAGATGACGGACACTCCTTCTGCTCCTCCGGGACCGGCCAACCATACGGGCCGACATTCACCACGGGTGATGTAATTGGCTGCTGCGTCAACCTCATTAACAACACTTGCTTTTACACCAAAAATGGCATCAGTTTAGGTTGGTGTACATGTTAAGATCATTTTATTTGAAATGAATTGATAAAATGTCATTTAGCATCAACTGAAACCAATGTGTGTGTACGTTCTTAACTCTAACTGGGTTTGTCTTTCTGTCCTTTAGGTGTTGCCTTCACAGACCTCCCCGTAAGTATTCATTATAGCCATGTTTTCCCATCATAACCCTTCAACACTTTCCTTTTATTAATAAGCCCAATTTTAATAATTTTTGTTTCGTGTAAGTGATATCAACTGTGCAGCTGCCCATCTAATTGCAGTTTATTTTGCCATTTGGGGTCAGAAACCCTTTCTGTGTTTTTGGATCCAGTGGCTGATATGACTGTAATATTTCAAAAAGGAAAAAAAAAACATTTTACTGGAGAGATTGGTTTAAATTAGACTACAGTCTCCACAGTTCAAAGTAGCTGTACACGCAGAAACCAAACAGCATCTAACCCAAGCAGCCTTCATCTGAGTGCTGATGTTAGTTTCATATCCTGTAAGTGGGTTGTTTTTTTGTTTTTTGCAAAAACCAACAAACAGCTGTTTATCCAGTGACTTTTGTCTATTATGGAACCCGAGGTATTCCATTCCATTTGATTTTGGTAAACCCAAGTTTATGTATTTTTACCCATCTAGATCGTTTTGGTGTGAGTTACTCAGTTAGCAAGTTTTTAATTTTGTAGAACAAATTTGCACTTCATGGTCTTTAATGCACAAAAATCCATTTGGGGAACTCTGCATTAATGTTTCTTTTCAAAAACTGTGACCAAGTTACATCAAAAGTCCACAGACTTTGTTTTAAGCAGTTTCATGTAAGAACTATTTCGATTGTTTACAGCCACTAAAATACAGACGTGTGCAGCTAGTTAGCATTAAAGCTCCGCCTAAGAGAGACACCATCAGTGTTTCCATCCTGTCACAATTTAACTGCCATGAACAGCTCATCACACATCACAGAGTTGGGATGGGACGCAGTGTAAAATGCAAATAAATATGAAATGCAGTAAATCGAAAATCATATAAACCCATATTTTATTCACAACATTTAAAACATGTGAAATGTTTAAATTGACAAAATGCACCATTTTGAATTTGATGGGAGCAACACTTCTCAAAAAGTTTGACAGGGCCATGTTTCCCACTGCGTGGCATCCCTTCTTCTTTTAACAACAGTCTGAAAACTGAGGAGGAATATTGTCCCAATCTTGTCTGATGTAGCATTCAGGGTGCTCAGAAGTCCTGGATCTTCTGTGCTGATTTATTTCTATTCACCGAATGTCTCCAAAAAGTTGATTCTGTTCATCTGGACGTAGCATTTTGTGGGAGAAACGTTTCGTCACTCATCCAAGTGACTTCTTCAGTCCCAGCTGACTGCAGGTTTCCCCAGTCTTATAAACAACCTCCCAGCCCATTGTTCCTTCAGTGGGCTGGTTTCAGTCATTATGCAAATGTACTGTTTATAAGATTGGGGAAACCTGCAGTCAGCTGGGACTGAAGAAGTCACTTGGATGAGTGACGAAACGTTTCTCCCAGAAAACGCTACGTCCAGATGAACAGAATCAACTTTTTGGAGATTTACTTTCCCGGATAACTGAGAATGCATCAAGACAATATTCACCAAACGTGTTCAGTTTTTGAACTAAAGACAGGCCTCTACAGATTTTCAACACTGCCCCTTGCGCACAAAGATTTCACCAGATTTCCTCAATTTTTTGATATATTGTCAGTCTTTGGAATTTTACATTGAGGAATATTATTCTGAAAATGTTCCATAATTTCTTCAAACAGTTTTGATGCTCATTTTATACCCAGTCATGTTACTGACTTCTTGCCAATTAATCAAATTATTTGGAGCTTTTTATTTTTAGTACTACTAAAAATAAAGTACTACTACCCTTTGTTGTCCCATCCCAACTTTTTTATAACATGTTGCTGCCATCAAATTCAAAATTAGTTTTTTTTGTGAAATAATGAAATGTCTGCCTTTAAACATTTTATATGTTTTCTATTTTCTATTGTGAATAAAATATGGGTTTATGAGATTTGTAAATCATTGAATTTTGTTGCACAGCATCCCAAACCTTTTAAATTTGTGGTGGTACTCTGACCCGATTATTGGAAATCATCACTGTTAGTATGATCACCAACAACTGTATAAGTGTAGATATGCTATAAAATAGGGGAAAATATAATAAATTCCCCTTCAGGCTTTGTTTTTTGAAGCGTTTGATGCAGCGCTGTAATGTATTCATTTTTTAAATAATATGTAAATATTATTGTTGCTTAGTGCCAAATCAGTTCTGTTTACTATTTTACGTTTCTACCAGCCCAACCTGTACCCCACTGTGGGGCTTCAGACCCCCGGTGAGATCGTAGACGCCAACTTTGGCCAGCAGCCATTTGTCTTCGACATCGAGGACTACATGAGCGAATGGCGGGCCAAGATCCACGGCATGATCGCTCGCTTTCCCATAGGCGAGCGGCTGGGGGAGTGGCAGGCCGTCCTACAGAAGTAAGATTCAGCTCCAACACCTTGACACACACACACACACACACACTATAATACTTTATCTCAAAGCCATAAAAATGACAGCAGCAATGTTGTGCAGGATAGTGGTAGAAAAAATATTGGAAAAATACCAGTAGCATATCTACAGTGGAGGAGGACCAGTGGATAAAAACATATTTTAATATTTCCTTTTAAGAGAGCTCATTAGCGCTTTTAATGATATCATGTAATATTTCCCCTCAGCTCATTCAGTTCATATTTAACAGGAAGTACCCAGAAAGTGAAATGTTTGTTATTCTGACAATGAATAACGAATCAGCCCACTAAGTTTTGTGTGCGCATATCTTATTTCTTTAACCATAGAGCCCCACTGTTATCCTAAAACTGTTAAATACACAGCACAGAGCCACACTGATATCACTGAATATTTCTTTGGCACGTCATCCTACGTACATTCTCCTTCTTCTGCAAAAAAAAATCCCACTAGAGAAACAATCTCTAAAACACTTTTCCCCCCTATTTTATTGATATTTGCTAAAAGCAATGCTGGCCAGCGGTTTTATTACATTTCTAAAACTGTATGAAACAGTGAAAATACTACATGTGTGTATAAATATTTATCTTGACTCTGGACAGATGTTCTCAAGCTGTATGCCACAGTCACAAAGACACCTAAACTATTCTGTCCATATTCACATTGCCTTTCTTGGTGTAAACGTCATACAGATGAAATATTTCTAATTTGATATTTTCAGAGAAAGATAAATGTGAGATAAAAATCTAAAAGTTAGTGAGGAGGAATCAGAAGGAAGATTTTTTTTATTATATACCTTGTTTTTTCCTAGTATGGTGTCCAGCTACTTGGTGCACCATGGGTACTGTGCCACTGCAACAGCCTTTGCCAGAGCTACAGAGACCATGATACAAGAGGACCAGACATCTATAAAGAACAGACAGAGTGAGTGCACAAAGCAGTGTGCGCTCAAAGGGAATCATTAGATTTTTCTCTATTATATTAGAGGGTGTGGGGTGTTACTTGTCTCTGTTGATGTATTGGCCTCTTTCAAATGTTTGTTTTGAAAGCTTGAATTCTCCAGATGTTGAGTATATTGTAAAAACCATTCTGCTTTTCATCTAATAGGAATACAGAAGCTAGTGCTGGCAGGGCGGGTTGGTGAGGCCATAGAAGCAACTCAGCAGCTTTATCCTGGCCTGTTAGAACGCAACCCCAATCTACTATTCATGTTGAAGTAAGTTTGCTGTAAAGGGTGGGTTCAAAGGCAAGCATGAATTTGCCGCCACAGCTATTATGGATGTAAAATCTGCTTGATATTTAAATAGCTTATTGTCCGGTGAATACCAGTAACACTGATATAAACTGGCCTCTAGGTGTCGCCAGTTTGTGGAGATGGTGAACGGTACAGACAGTGAGGTTCGCTGCTTGACTATTCGCTCCCCAAAGTCCCAGGACAGTTACCCCGGCTCACCGTGCCTCAGCCCCCACCACGGAGCCAGCAACACACACCTGCACACCGGAGGTACATCACACAAACAGGACTGGCTTTCCCTCTACCTTTAAGTTTATTTATAGGTCTTTGTTTCCTCTCCTACTTTACTCACTACCAGGTTCAGACAGCCCCACCTGTAGTAACGGGGTGACTCCCCCGAACAAGTCAAAGAGCCACAGCAGCAGCGGCAGCATCAAATACCCCAGCGCGTCCTCCTCTGCCTCTTCCTCCTCCTCCTCCTCCCCTTCATCCATCAACTACTCTGAGTCTAATTCCTCCGATTCCACCAAGAGCCAGCCGCACAGCGCCAACAGCACCCAGGAAACCAGGTGAGAAGCCCTGACAGCTTGTTTTACAGCTGATACGTGTAGACCTGGAGTCTGTACTGTGGTGCAAGTTGAGCATGCCTAGGATATCTTTCCCTTATCTCATTTCACTTACCCTAACTTTTGGAATCCAGGTAAGTGGTTATCAACTCGATAATTCAGGGATACCAAATCTAGCTGCAAGTTTACTTAAATGCAAGTCAAAGTCAAGCACTTTAAGTGCTTTGACTTGAAAAACATGATATTAATTTAAGCACATTTAAATCCAAGAAAGAAAGGAGGCAAGAATGTGCGTTTATAGCCTTATCAGAATCACAGCTCTGTCATTAGGAAACAGGCAGATTGGACTGTAATTACAGCTGTGTATTCCATTAAATTAACTTGTTGCTGGGGCACCCAACAGCTTGCTTGTTAAGGCTGTCATTACACCTTAAAAAACTTAATGTGCTATTTAAATGAACAGTGGCTTGTAAAACACTGTCAGTCTTATTCTTTCAGTTGCAACCCTTTAAACGGTCTGAGAGCAAGTACAGAACAAATATAAAAGCATAATTCAAACCATTAGGTAAGCTTACTTGCAAATGTTATATAAGGTCAACAAGTAAAAGGCTTAGCCGCCCTGTTTGACGACTGCAGCGCTTGCAGAAAAATTAAATCGCTTGCAGCCAGGAGGAGGAAAAAGCAAAGACCTAAGAATTTATATTTCTTATTAATGTTCATCAGGGAAACGCAGACATTAGAAAATCTCTAGAAAGTATAGACTATGTGCATAACATTGTCTGGGGGATCATCTTGGAATGGTGATGTTATTTTCTAGAGATTAACTGGTCAGTATGCACTTGTTTAGAGTTGTTGTTCTTGAATGTAACCTAGTCTGAAGCAGGTTAGGTGTGCAGCTGGATTAAAAATGGCAATGATAAGAAGTGAACCAACCCAAACCCAAGGTTAAACCAAAACCCCAGTTATGGAGCCAAATTGAGGTGATGCAGGTTGTATTATGTTTGCTCTGCTGACAGTTGATCGTTCAGTGATGGCAGAGGATGTTTCCCCTCATTATTTAATTTTAGGCATAAATATAAGAGAGAGATAACATAAGCTAATAAAGGTGTTAATGGGTGCAGAATATTTGTTCCGATGCTCCAAATGAGGTGTTTGGCACTGGGGGGGTGTTAGTAAAGATCGCATGTTTTTTAAATAGTTCATTATTGTGATCCTACCCAGGCCTAAAATGTTCCTTAATATTGTCTTTTACACTCTGTGTGTGTGTGTGTGTGTGTATGTGTGTGTGTGTGTGTGTGTGTGTGAGCAGTGACAGTGAGATGGAGATCGAAGCAGAGCACTACACCAACGGCGTTGTTGAGGGCTCCTCGGCGCGGATCATGAACGGAACATACAAACATGAAGAGATCCTTCAGCCAGACGACAACAGCATTGGCAATGGAGTCACAGGTACACGAAGAACACACACGTGCACTCAGTCACACTCCTGAAAACGTCTTGGTCTTTACACTGCTTCTAGCCTTTATATTTCCTCTTGCTTTAGACTTGATCCACCTCTCTTTAGGATGTTTTTACAGTGTGTTTGTGTGTGTTTCTCCACCAGATGAGGTTTGTAGTCACAGCAGACAGCTTTGTGGTGGGAACCAAGCAGCCACAGAGAGGATGATCCAGTTTGGACGGGAGCTGCAGGCGCTCAACGAACAGCTGTGTCAGGAGTACGGCAAGAATACCACACACAAGAAAATGTTACAGGTACACACACATTCCACTGCACATGGGCTCGAGCTCAACAAACAGCTACAATGCCAAACAAGAGATGTGATGCAAGGAGTGGGCTGAGGAGATTTGTTTCTGCTGGCACCAGTTAAAGTCCTGGTTATAGTATTCTGTGGACGCTGCAGAAATTGGACGGACTTATGATTTAGGATGTGCTGTTGTAAAACAGATAAAGTCAAAGTTATTTCTGACAAGCAGTAGTTTCCAATATACAGGAAGATCCTAAATCAGTCTTTATTTGCAGGGCACTTCATCTTTACAGTTGAAAGTGTTTTTTACAGGTGACTGACAAGAATTTAAAGAAACACAAATAAAAATGGTGAAAAAGTAAATAAAAAACACTTAATTAAAAAGACCAGAGTAAACCATTTATCTCTGGATTTTTTTAGATACGTGAAACTTCTTCAGTTTTTTTTAAGTTTTAAAACAAACATTTTTCTAGTATCATTTGATCATTTTGTATTGATATTATTATACATACCCCTCTTTTTAAAGCATCAAAAGAGGGTTATGCATGTATTGAAATGATGTGCTGGGACACTGTTTTGGCATTCTCATTTTTGTCCACCAGGGGGCAGAAATGTAGGCCTATATACCACTAAATACCCACTTGCATAGTCAGCAGGCAACATTATCATGTCATCACCCTCATTAAAGTAAGAATACTTAGAATAGCATTATTAGTTGTTTGTATTATTTATAATAATACAGGGAGATGCTCCCAGTCATCTCAGCAAAAATGTTATTTTGACGAGAGCTCCCAGTTATTATGATCACTCATTAGGTTATCCACGTTTTAGTGTTTGTGGACCGGTGAATATTGGAAACAAAAAATGAAAAGAGCCTGGTTAGGATAGATTAAGGCACCTGTTCTCTTTTTGTCTAACTCTAAGTGATATAGTAGTTTTCTGTCGGTATAATAAGATAAAGACATGACAGGAAAGACAATAAAATGAGTAAATGCAGGACAGTAGCTCTTATGACTTGTCTTCATAATTTATGCTGGCCAAACAGTTGTGTCTCGTTAGCTGGTGCCCAGAATGTTAATGAATACTTTGTAGCTTTAGGGCCATTAAGGAAATCCCAAGCTGGAGAGTGTTCTGCACTGCAGGGATTCAGCTGTGTTGCATTCACAAAGGCTCTGCGTGTGTGTTTGTGTGTGTGCGTCTCTCGCTGTGTCTCTGTGTAGGATGCATTCAGCCTGCTAGCGTACTCAGATCCCTGGAACTGCCCCGTGGGCCAGCAGTTAGACCCTACGCAGAGAGAGTCACTCTGCTCTGCCCTCAACAGCGCCATACTGGGTAAAGAGCAAAGCACAAACATATTCTGTGGGTTACGCTCATACATACAAAACTGTGCAAAGAAAAGACAAATATGACTTTCTGTCTTCTTTACCTTAACGATGATAATATCAGAGCTCTGAAAGGGCCAGTGCTGGTATTTAGACCCCTAAGTAAATTGCCCAGATACATAGTAAACTATCTCTTGAAAATGTACGAATATGCCTCCAAGTTCTAACATTTGACAAGCTTTAAACTGTACACTTTTAAGCTTTCCTACTTTGGAGAAATACAAGAATGTTTTTATATTTAATACATTTTATAAAGTAAGTTTTCTTTTATTCAACAAATAACATGTTTAGCTCCTGCAGAATTACTTTTAATGTTTGATTTACATGATGGAGAAGACTTACACAGTACCGTATGTGCTCAAACTTTTTAAGAGAACTCCTTCATTCTGGTTTTGCCTTTGATTAAAAGCCAAAAATGTTTACCTCTAAATCAAGGAAAGCAGCAACAGATGGTGTTATAAAGTCTCGTGGCCATCTAATTCATTTGATGTTACAAAGATTGCTTTTTGTCTTTTTCTTTTTTACAAGAATTAAATCAACACACACAGTGATTTTTGCTGAATGACATTGTTTTGTTGCTGCAGTTCCATATGCAACTCCAACAAGATCAACAGAATAAGGATTTTCTGTTGAATATAAGAATAGAAATCCAAAAAAATGTCCTTTATTTTTATAGAATATTGTTATCAAACACCATTCAAAGCCAAGAACAGAGGTTTATGGCTAGAAACCTTTCAATAGACAGATTGCAGTATGGCAAGATTTTCAGGGTTTGCTTGAAATCTTGAATACACATAAAGTGGAAGCAAGCACTGTTTTTATTAAAGATAAATGAAAAGGGTTAAAGAAAGTTGTTTTTAAAAATTATAAAAGATATTATGCTAAAACATTAGCATGTTAGCTAAATGAGCTAAATGTAAACAAACCAGATTGTGTGGTTGTTCCCATCTTTAACAGAGCTCAGCATTTATACAAGCATTCAGTGAATCAAAAGGGCATGTGGTTAAGAAAGTCAACACTTAATTCCCTTAATGTTCACATATTAGAGCAGTGTGTATTGCTTGTACCAAGGTTATAAGGTGTAAAAAAACATTTTAATTAACTAACTAAAAAAAAAACAAAACTAAAACTAACTGAAATGACATTTTGAACCTGGAAAACAAACTAAAATGAAATGGAAATATAGAAGAAATACCCTAAAACACCTTCAGAAAGTTCTGTTTTTATTGTAATACCTGTACTGATTTTCCTTTAAAACTAAAACTAACACTGAAACTAATAGAAACTAAACTAAACCAACAATAAAAACTAACCCAAAACAAGAAAATTTACTCTGGAAACAAACTGAAACTAAACTGAAATAAAACCAAAAATAAAAACCAACTTGAAAGGGGTAAACTATAAAAACTTTGTTATGTTCATATATTCTAAAACTGCTTTTTATTTCCTTGCTTTTAGCCATAGGTAGCAAATTTACTAAAAAAAACCAAATAAAAAATCAATCAATCCTGACATTATTGATATTTTCACTGGATTTTCCCCCAAGGCATACAAAGATTCATATTAATATGAATATTGAGCTGTCATTTTCTGCCACCAGTAAGAAATGTTGCCTTTCACAAACATTGAAAACAGCTGTAATATCTGTTAAAATGAGATGAGATGATCAGTGCAAACCTAAACTATCTCAAGCCAAGCAGAAAGGAGCAAGAATATTTGATTACTTTCTTTGTGATTCTTTGTGTTTTTCTTCTTCAGAGTCTCAAAATCTGCCTAAACAGCCTCCGCTGATGCTAGCGCTCGGTCAGGCCACGGAGTGTGTTCAGCTCATGGCCCGAGTCCGGTCCGGTTCCTGCTCCTTCGCCAGAGTAGACAACTTTTTGCACTAGCCCAGGTCCAGGTGTGTAAATTCATATTTAGGAGTAATCATCCTTTTGTGAGGTGGACAATGTAAATAAGCTTAGCCTATAAATCCTGTAATTATCTGAGGTCTGAAACGGGGCACTGAATGTGACTCATAGTAAGGTTTACATGGTGACTGGCATGTTTGTCTTAAAGGTATGGATGGAGGACGACCTTCATCTCCATCTGTTATTGTCTTTAATTACAGCTAATGTGCACACATGCCTCAAATGGGGGGGAGGAAAAGGATAAAATGCTCTCCCGCTGTATTTCTATCAATCATGCTACATTCATTTCATTACCCCACATCTCTCCCACAGGTTATTGTTAAGTAGCACTGAGAGAAGACATGTCCAGCAGGTAGTTGTCATGGCAACGGAGGAAGGAGCGTTGGTGCATTTGGCTGTCCATCAGACCGAGCCAGCAGAACAGGCAAGAGAGGCAGAGGAGAGAGAGAGAAAAGAAAGGTTCCTTTTTATTTAGTATTATAAAATAAATAAATGTGTGACACTATTTAAAGATAATTATTATTCTGTTCATCTAGCCTTTTTTTTCTTTTGTTTTTTAGTTCTTTTGTGTCAGTTTGTTGTGCTCATCCTGGAACAAAGAAATTGTAAACCTCCTTCTGATTCTTCCCTTCTGTTTTAACGGGTGGATTTCTTCTCCCTGCTGTCAGTATTGATGTTCTTGTTTACCATATCACAGACCACAATACCCAAAAGCTGGTTTCCACAGTCATCGTGACACCTGTAGGCCTTTTTTTTTCAATTAGACACGGCGGATCTTGAAATACAAAAGGGTTCAAACTCGTCATGAAAATTATTCCAGAAAGTCAAAGAAAATCAAAATTCACTGGACAAAGCTTCCAAGTCATACTCTAATATGTCTGTGCGAGCTAGCAATTTTTTACCCAAAGAATAGGAGACTTCCTTAAAACTTTACCCATGTAAAAGAAAAAAAACATAATTGAAGGTCCTCTGTAGCTGCGAACGCTGCCGGGAGAGAGGGTGATGACAAGAGACTACAGTGGAATATTAGAGGTGTTGGAGCCTTGATTTTACCGTAACAACCACAACGTCGACCAATCAGCGATGTGGTTGCAGGTGGCAGAGCTCGGCAAGAGCTGCACCGACAACATCCGCCTTCAGGACCAAGTCTTACACTATTTTAATGGCCACCTTGATGCCAGTATTGAGGAAATCAGTATCAAACTCAGCTTAACAAGCGCTGTGTGTGCGTGTGTGTGTGTGTGTATTCAGGGCACTCCCCCTGAGATTTAATTACTGCTGCCCTTTTTTCCTTCGCCATCCTCCACAGCCTGACCTGCTGTGTGCATGTGCTGTTGCAAACACTGTTTCAGAAAAAAAGGAAAACCATCTTCCGAACACACACGTGTAGTTTTTTAGGGAGCACTGTGTGATCTTTCGTTTTGATTTTAAAGATTGTGAAAACCAGTTCTGGTTGTTGGGAAAGTTTCTCTCTTTTTGCCTTACACAGAGCCCTTTAGGTTTATAAAACAAATTAGTCCCAGAGTTTCAATATGTACAATAACATGATGGTAAAACAGTCATTTTACCCTTCAGGCTAGCTGCTGGCCACAATGAGATTTGCATACAAGTAAAGACAGTGCTCAGGTCCGCTACTTCCTGTTTTGGTGTCAAGTTATACCTGCCAACAGTCCTGTTTTTACAACATTTCCCTCATACTTAAAGCTGCATAATAAGTTTGCTTTGTTTCTCCGAGTATTCTTAGCTGACTGTCTCTCAATTACTATCTACATGCAGTCCACATACTACACATATTATCAGCCAAAACAGATTCAAGGCGTGTCTGTGCAACAGCAGGATTCCTGTGTTAGCTGTTGCTCCTTTAATGCTTTACCCGTCGACAAAGACGAGAGCACCACTTTAAGACACGCTTAAAGAATAACAACCAGGATGTGTGTGACAGGTAAATGCAGTCAATATTAGTGCAGTAGTACAAACACTGCAGATTGAAATAGAACATTAGGGTAAGAAGTTTCGTAGGGCAACAAGCCATGATCCGAGGTAGACGGTGCATGACATCAACAAATCTCTGGGTGTTCGAGACCAAAATGCTGGCAGGTATGAGTCAGATCAGTACGAACAGAAGTACGAAATACCGCTTCCAGACACTTCTCACTTGGCTTGATATTAAAATTAATTAATAAGATATTACGACTTTAAATTACTCAGTTTTACACGATCAGTTCACAGTTTTCATGCCAGTTTCGGCACCCTCAGACCTTTTTCCACAGCAGAGACTCTGGGTTATTATGAGATAGACACAGATATAATTTGTAAGAAAACAAATGAAACCATTCAGACAAGGCTCCATTTTTGTGTGTAATAGAACTGAGCCATCATTAAAACTTGGTCCAAAAGTAACTTTTCTCATGACAACTTAAAATATCTGCTTGGACGAAAAAGGCCTGTTAGGCTTCACTAATATCATCAAGTAAGTTTTGGTTAGTAAAAAACTAGCTAAAGCACTAACTAGCTGTACCTCACCACCTACATGTTAGAGAAGCCATCTTTATTTTGTCTGCTAAGGACTTTGTTTGAAACTACGCAGCTAAAACACAAACTAATTCACTAACTGGTGGCTGACGAGGTTGATTCTTTTGAATCAGCCAATCATTTTGCTGCTCCTCAGAAACACACTGTACAGTAACTAGCCTTTGTTTTAGCAAGACCACATGCTACCTGGCTACATTGCTAGCGGGCTCAGCTGCTTTTAAGCTCACATAGCCGAATAGTACAAAACGTTATTTCTAAAATGTTTCTTAAATGTTTGCAAAAAAAAAAAAGACCAAAAAGCCACTGTGTTCCTTTCTGTAACACACATGAGCTAACATGTTAGCGGGCCTGGTTGAAGTTCAGTCGTTTATGCTTTAATGGCTCTTTTTTGGCTTCATTTTTATTTTACAGGAGCCACACTTGAGTTAGAATATATTTGGAGGTAACACTGATATTTTTTTCTTTCTTTAGCATTTGGAAAAGCTAAAATGGAAATCTTGAAGGGATTTCACAGGAACTATTAAACATGTGGATTCAAAGCTTTTTGTTTTCATCAACTCAACTTTCTCAGGTTGATACTGTTTCTACACAACAAAAATGGCAGCCAGTCACAATCGAATAAAACATTAATTGAGTAACTAACCCGTTAATTACTTTCACAGTGTTAGCTCTGTAAAGCTGGCTCACGCTGCAGCATTATTCACTTCATTTTTAGTTTTGCGTCTCAAAAGAGAAGACTTTTGTCCTGTGTGTCGGAAGCATTAAGTTTAACTACCACCCCAGTCACATGTGTTTCATTATTTGGTTTTAACAATAAACATGTTTTCCTCTGTAAACATATGAAATGATTTCTTTTCTACAAAGTGGACGGATATTGTGTGACTGACAAAACGTTGTCTCTCTGTCTGTTTTGTCGTGACCTGGCGAGCGGCGCTGATCCACCCTGAAGTGTGTATTTCTATTCATAAGAGATTTTCCGTCTAGGTTATGTGGTCAAACCTTTTTAGCTGGTGTTTTGTTTTTGTTTTTCTAAACACCTTCTGCTAATGTAGGATTTATTCTAATAACTACACATACAGACACACCCACAGCATCTGCCTCTGCAGCTGTACAGGACTTCTGTTACACACTATTGAAAGAGAAACCTCTGTTACACACCTGTAGAGGGGGGGGAGAAAAAAAATCTCGCTGCTGTCCTGTTGTTTTTGGACTTGGGCTGCATCTCAGCTGTATTACCACACAGCTTTCCCCCATTATCCCCATTATCCAGCCACTGACATGCTCAGTGACCGTTAGAAGGAAAGGAGACGCGAGCAGTTGTAGAAACGAGCCCGAGGCCTCCGAGGCTTCCCGAGAGGCCAGAGAAACTGATTTAGGCGCCGCAGCTGTGCACAGTTGACTTCTATCATGATTTTGGTTTCAGATTTTCACTTTTGAGTTTTAGGAAAAAAATAAAAATGTTTTAAAAATGTGAAATGAGTTACCCTCTACTTAGCATGACTTGTAAAACCTTTAAAACAATATAAAAAAAAAAAGGAAAAATGATAATTACAAAAAAAACTATGTACTGGAACTATGTTAAAAAAAAAAGAAATATGTTTTCTGTTTAATTTTGACAGAATTATTTTTATTAAAATACATCCATAAGCATATGATCGGTGTCCCGTTTTTATTTGGTGTCATTTCTTTTTTTTCCTCAGAATATGAGTTCGTTTGTGAGTGAGAGGCAATGACAGCTGTAAACACTTGTACAAAACATTAATGTTAGTAGAGTATAATCTTACAATTTAGACACATCTGCTTATTTCACTATTTTTATCTTATAAATAATAAACTCACCAAATACTTCATTAGTTAAACCTATTCAACTGCACTTTATAGCACTTTAATCAACCAACCCAATGGCTTCTTTGTGTCTTCCTACAGCAAAGGTAGGAGAGGGGCCGGTTGTATTAAGAGATTTGATTGGGCAATCCAGTGTCAGTATGAAAATGAACCAATGGACTGCTGTCAGGGGCTCTTCAGACTGGCTCATTGGCCCAAAAGTGCATCGGCCTACGGGGAAAATCCCCGGTATGCCAGATTATCAGTCCAGGCCTGATCTCAGTGCATTTAGGCATGTAGGCATAGTCATGCCTTGTTAATGGCTGTAAACAATGTATGCTAAAGAGCATCTATGGACTCACAACATGTGGACTGCTAAGCAGATGAGCTACAGCAACAGAAGAATTTTCATGGTCTCACCCAAACTGAAGCCAGAAGATTGGTAAAAATGTTGTGATGAGTCTCAGGTTTAACATAGAGATGGTGGGGTCATAAACACAAAAGTATGTACCCATCTGTTTTCAGCCTGATGGTATAATGCTATGGGGGATATTTTCTTGCCATATTTTGAGCTCCTTAATACTAACTGAGCATTTCTAAATGCCAGCCTACCTGCCACTGTGACTGCAGGGTCTTCATTTTGTTTTGCAGTCTGGCCTCTTTGACTTGTGATTAGAGCAACTATCTCTTCTAAGCAGTGTCGGCTTCAGCTACTTCAGGCTCTGAAGCAATGACCATTGCACAGTTCAAAGAGTAAGAGTCTTGTTTATCTCCCGGTGTAGATAATTTGACCTCATCTATTTCATTGCACTGGTAAGGTCAGCTTATTATCTTCCTGATTATGTGAATATATGCTGTGATCTTTACATAGAGCTACATCGCCCTCTCCTGGTTCTGCTCACAGTTGGACACCATAAAGCGCGCACCGCGCTTGACTTTCAGTCTCAGTGTTTTACACTAAAACTCACTAAATGCATTTCTTTGGTTTTAGGTTTCCATATTTAATGAAGAGCACTGCAGAGGATGGATTCATTCAAATGTGGTGCAAGTCAGACTACAACACCTCTCATGAAACTCTTCAAACTATGTTACCATGAATTTGTTTTTTTGATCAAGTCATTTATAGCCTTTCACATTCTTTGGCTCTAATTCTTATAATAACTTGGATTTGTATAACGCCTTTCAGGAAACCAAAGGTGAAGGAGGTTGGACAGGTACTGAGCTGCCCGGGCATTGAGGGATTTATAAGTCAGATGATGATGTGAATGATGTGTGGCTTGACCAGGAGCCAATGGAGATTTATGAGGGTGGGGGTGATATGTTGCCAGAGAGTGTGTTAGAAGCCTGGCAGCTGAGTTGTGGACATACTGGAGCCTGTCCAGGGCTTTGCTGGGGATCCCAAACAGGACCCCACTGCAGTAATCCAGCTGTGTGGTAACAAAGGCATGGATGAGGGGCTCTGCTACAGAGTCAGTGAGCAATGACTGAAATTAAGAGATGTTCATTAAGTGGGAAAAAACACTGCTTTAGTGACAGATTTGAGCCTGGGATTAAAGTGTGGAGTCTAGATCGAAACCCAAGTTGCGAAATTCTGGGGATGGTGAGATGGTGCAACAGTCTTTCAGAGCAGGGCCCTGAGGGCCACAACCAAGAGCTCTGTTTTATTACTGTTGATCTTGAGTAGGTTAGATGACCTATATGTTTTAACTTAATGCAGAAAGGTGACAAGTGATTGGGGAGGAAACTGGGTGGAGGGTTTTGTACTGATATAAAGTTGTGTGTTGTCAGCATAAGAATCATCAATGGATCAGAAGGGTTCCAAGAACAGGGCCTTGAGGCACATTGTGGCTAACTCTCAGTGCTGTGGTGTGTTCTGAAACCAGACTGAAATGGTTCATATGTCCACCTTATGGTTGGACATATGTTGATTGAGTTTTCCAAGATTTTGCTAAGGAACAAAGGTTGGAGATCAGTCAGTAATTTTTAAGGTCATCAGGGTCCAGACCTGGCTTCTTGAGGATGGGAGTGACTGAGGCACTTTTAATGTTGGAAGGCACCGATCCTGCTTCCAGCAAAGAGTTGATGTCAACTATAAGGGAGCATAGAGCAGGTAGACTCAGTGGTGTCTGCACTGGGTCCAAAGTACAGGTGGAGGGAATATCATAATACTGCCAAAACGTCTTCTCTGTGTACCATAATATATATAAATGTATGATTAAAGATTAAGTGGTTCCAAATAAGCAGTAAGTATTCAAGATATTCCACTATGTCACTGTATTTAAGGAGAATATCTCTGATTGCTTTTTTACTTTGAAATAGCCCCTGTGTTTGGAGAAAAACTTCAGCCTGGACATTATTCAAAGTTATGGCTCAGTAATATCTACTGTACCTCATTTTCCTTTATGTGTAAAAATATGTGAGTTAGATGATGGATTTCATAAACTTCTTCTGGTCATTTCCTATAAAGTGCCGAAGCTCTAGGATAAGATGGTCCAGTGGTTCAAAGAAACTCTTAGAAGGCAATACTGAGTTCCTCTGCCTTCAGCTACCATATGGTTCATGATTGAAGGGATTTCACAGGATCTCATGATTTCTATTTTAAACTTGGAAAACATCATTTTAAGCTTGTAAACATTAAAGACCTTGAATATATGTTCCATCTGAATGACTCTACTTGGTTTCCTATAATACAAACCAGCATTTATGGCAAATATGTGGTGGTTCAAGCAGTCTATAGATATTTTTTTTATAATTGGGTCACATTGTTTTACAGTCTTTGAACAGCAGAGGGCAGAAGAAGGCTGGGGAATGCTTTATGCATAATCAGATCAGCACATATTTTACTCAGCTCATGCAGTAGCCCTTTTAAATGAAAACAAAGACAGTTGCAGGTAAGGTGTTTGATTTTATGTTCTCCTGTGGAAGATATTTTTCATAATCACAAGAGGCATACGTTTTAACCCAGACTACCTACAGTATGCGTCATAACTGGCTTAAAGCACCAAAAACAAAGAAAGAAACAACAACATATAAAAAGGTAAGTGTAGTGCTCATTAGCTCAGGTGATTAAAATCAAAATAATCATTATATGGAGTGTTTTAAAAGATGTTTACTTCATAAAAATGTCACTTGGATTCCTGAGGGGTGAAACACACCTGATGTGTTGTTCCAGCGTGACTAAATGTTTTTTTGTAACACAGAGCCAGTCTGTGTACTCTGAAGCTGGAGAGCCAGTGAAACAAAGACGCTGTTGGGTCTCAAAATATTCAACTAAGCTGTAAAACCAACCAAACTTTTATTTAACTTTTTTCTATCAGTATTTCATCTCTTCTCACCACATGTTGCTTTAGATGATTGTGCGTTGAGGCTTTTAAATCTACAAGAATTGAATACAAATAAAAAAAATGTCAGTAGCTGTTAGGTCAAGGCTGGGTAAGGAGTGGGTGCATTTGGTTCCCTCTTGTAA